ATCAGCAGATTATTGCAGTGAATTTCAAAAAATGAAAGTAAAAAAAGTTATAGAAGTTTAAATTTACTGTAAAGAAATTGTACTGTACAATTTTTATTTTATTTTTATATAAAATAAATATTTTACAAAATAGGTTTTAATAAAGCCATATGTTTTAATAAGTTATGTTCCAAATTTGAAGTTGATATAAAAAAATAAATTGAGTTTACTATGAAATTTTGTTTAGGTGTTATACCACAAACAGCCACCAGGTGCAATCCAAACCCAATTGAATTTTTTTGATGCATTTTTCTGTCACAGATGTCTACATTTCTTTCTCAGTATTACGCCTATCACAAAATAACCACCAAATATGGAATCTTGAGACTCAGACCTTTCCGACGATATGTATTTTGTCAAGATTATAAAAAGTTTTTATTCCAAAAGACCATAATACATTTTGTAATATGACACCCCACACTAAGCGGGAGGAGCCCTCTAAAATATTTTTTAAAAGCAATGTCCAATTTCAAAACGGTTTTCACAGGATGAATTTTGAGATTTCAAGCTTTCAAATGATATATAATGTATGATGATTACTAAAACATGTAATAGGAAAAAAAGGAAACTCTTGTCATGAATTAATCTATTACTGCTCCTACATAATTTTTAACAACAAACAGTGGTAAAATATCTATTTAGGAGTCTTAGATCTTTCCAACGATATACAGTTTGTCATGATTAGATTAGGATTTAATAGTAATATATTGAAGAAAACTTGACAGTTAAGGGGTTAACTAAAATTACAATGAAAATGGAAAATATAAAAACTAGTTCAAATTATTAATAGAAGCTATAATACTAATGAAAGATAAAATAAAACTGCTAAACTGAAAAAGATGCGACGATCTTCGGGGCGTTTTTCAGATCAACACCGGTTCTTCTCTGCTGTCTCTCGGGACGCTCGTCAAGGGCGTTCCAGCGGAAACCATCTCCAGCATTGAATCCTCAGAGCTCCTGGCCATATCCAGCAATCCCACGTTCATCAGCAACATCCTCTCAGCGCCAGAAATCCTGCAGCTGGTTTACGTCATGAAGGTACCGAGCGCTCAGATGTGTTTAATCACCTCTACATCTCGAACCCTCTCTCAGATTCTCTCATCCTCTTCCTCCTCAGATCGCATCCATAGATGAAACTAAAGTCATCGAGAACGTTCCGGACGCATTGGCTGGCTCCATCCCGCGCCTCTTGTTGATCTCTCAGGAGTCAGTTAACGTCACCCTCATCAACCTCAAGCTCTGGAAACAGGAGCAGGTGCCGACATTTCTCCGCTTCTTCTGTTTTTATTTCGCATGACCGCTGAAGCTATAATACTAATGAAAGATAAAATAAAACTGCTAAACTGAAAAAGATGCGACGATCTTCGGGGCGTTTTTCAGATCAACACCGGCTCTTCTCTGCTGTCTCTCGGGACGCTCGTCAAGGGCGTTCCAAAAACCATCTCCAGCATTGAATCCTCAGAGCTCCTGGCCATATCCAGCAATCCCACGTTCATCAGCAACATCCTCTCAGCGCCAGAAATCCTGCAGCTGGTTTACGTCATGAAGGTACCGAGCGCTCAGATGTGTTTAATCACCTCTACATCTCGAACCCTCTCTCAGATTCTCTCATCCTCTTCCTCCTCAGATCGCATCCATAGATGAAACTAAAGTCATCGAGAACGTTCCGGACGCATTGGCTGGCTCCATCCCGCGCCTCTTGTTGATCTCTCAGGAGTCAGTTAACGTCACCCTCATCAACCTCAAGCTCTGGAAACAGGAGCAGGTGCCGACATTTCTCCGCTTCTTCTGTTTTTATTTCGCATGACCGCTGGTTTTCTTTTTTTTTCTTTTTTTGATGATGATGATGATGATGGAGGAGGAAAAACCATGTAAAATCCCAGAGCTCCTAACCCCCCTGCTGTGCTTGTTCCTACGATGGTGTTGGGGTCAAACTGACCTCCATTGATTTCCATGCAATTCACGAACAAATCAACACTATGAAAAATCATGTTAAAACAGAAAACACATCACAATACATTTGTTAACATTAGTTTGCTACATTAGTTAACATGAACTAACATTGAAAAATACCTCTAAAGCATTTGTTAAACTGAATGTGAATTTCAACATTTACTAATACATTATTAAAATCAAAAGTTGTATCTGTTAATATTATTGGTAGCACTTAAGATAGGGAAACACATATTCACTACTAACTAGAGTTTCCCCTCAATAAACTCGTAATCTGCAATAAACTAATTATTAGATAGTATGATTGAGTGGATTAAGGGATGTAGAATATGATCATGCAGAAAAAGGCATAAATATGTGCTTTAAAAGAACTAATAAACAGCCAGTGTGCTAGTATTTTGCATGCTACTAAGCAACTAGTTACTAGTGAGTAGTGTTCCCTAATCTGAAGTGTTACTGTATTGTTTAATTATATGATTTATTTAATAGACCTGAACATGGACTTACAATGAACAGTTTTATGACCTAGCGTGAACAAAGATGAATAAGTAATATAACAAATGTATCGCTCATTGTTAATGTTAGTCAACGCATTAGTTTACTAATTGTATTAGGTTTTAATGCAATTAAATTTAAACGTATTAAGTTTACTAATTGGAGCTTACTGTAAAGTGTCACTCAAAACCCTTAATGTAGCTCGTCACAGACTAAAAAATATAAAATGTGAGAAATGATTGATTTTTGACAAAGTGCATGGGGAAACCTTTGTAGTCTTTCCAATACGGTGGACAATTTGCGTGCACATTCACAACCCTGAATAAGAAAAAGTCACAAGATTTCAAGAAGAAATAAATAGCTTAACCAGTGTTTCAAGCAGTTTAATGTGGATCAGTTTGAGCCCAACACAAAAGGAGGGTTAGGAGTCTGTTTCGGTTGTGTATATCTCAGGCTGATTTTCTGTCATACTGTAGGCCGTGATGCTGTTTGGCTCCATGGCGAGTGTCAGTATGGACACCGAAGAGTAAGTTTCTCAGAAACCTTCTCATCACATTTCTGTACTGTGAGTGAAAGAGCAGTCTGCAGGTGTTTTAAGCGTGTTTGTCTCCCTCTGCAGGCTGTCTGAGGCACTGCTGCAGGGCTTCACCTGCACGGCGGTCCAGACGCTCGCCGAGCCCAAGGTCAAGCAGCTGGTGAAAGCCTGCAGACATCGGCCAGGACGCCAGAAGGTCCAGCTGAAAGAGAGCCAGATACACACCTTACTTATGTCTGCTCAGTATTTATGTCTGCGTTTGTGGAGTTTTAATGAGTAAGTCTTTAATTGTTGCACTCTAGCTGGTGTGCATGTACAACTACATGAAAGAGGAGGCTTCGCCACGCTTCACAGATTTACCTTCAGACATGCTGCTTTACTACAAGTGAGTAACTACACCATCTGAAACATTCACATGACACATTACATTTATTTGTTTATGACTTTAACATTATCTATTATGATGATTTATTATTGCTATTCTTTTATTGTAACTTGCAAAGGAAAATAAGTCAATTATCCAGGGTAGAAAACAAACAAGTATCACTCACTATTGTACCAAATCTCAGCGGAGCAGAAGAGAATACCTCACAGCTGTTTCACTCTTTCACCATATTTCCATCACTCAGATAAAATACTTACTTAGTAGTCCAATATTTGTCATATTTACAAAGAAACATGTGCATGTTGTGCTCTTGGACAACAGACTCCACGAAGAGTGACGGGAATGAGAAATGGTTATTACTGAAGTACACAAATTACTATTAAAAATGAAAAATGTTCTCTCTGATTGTCGTTTTATTTCATTCATGGATGATTCACTATTTTGCTTTGTTCCTGATTCCTAAATTCTCTCTTTCAGAGTGTTTCTTTGATTGTCTTGTTTGTGGTCATCTGTTGTTTGGTTTGCCCATCTGTTTGTTTGTTCTTTTGTGGTAATTTGTTAATGTTTGTTTGTTTGTGGTTCAGCTATGAGAAGGTGGAAGAGACGAACTGCCGCTCGTATTTCAGCGCCGTGGGTACAGCAGATTATTCTGTTCTTTCCAGCGTCCTTGACAAACTGAAGACTTTGTTCAACAATGCACAGAGCTGTCTGGTGAGCAGTACACACACACACACACACACACACACACTCTCTCTCACACACACACACACACACACACTCTCTCTCACACACACACACACACACACACTCTCTCTCACACACACACACACACACACACTCTCTCTCACACACACACACACACACACACTCTCTCTCACACACACACACACACACACACTCTCTCTCACACACA